CTAAACCGAGTGTTTTAAGCTTGTGTACCATTATTACACCTATTACACAAACATTTTATACATCAGTGTGCTGTAAACATTTCAGAGCGCTCACTTTGGAAAAAAAGCATGGCAAATGAAAGCTACTACTGTCATAGAAGTGAGCATGGAGTCAAATGGGATTTCTCCCGCAGGATCGGCTACTTTAGACCGAAATTCCGAGCTGTTTAGAAGGGTTTTGAGAAAACTGGTATTGTCTATCAAATCGCATGAGTCCGTTGTAAAAACGAGTGAAAAGTAAAGAACGTGGGTTATTTCCTTTAATGAAAGAACGGATTCATTATTTGCATGTGCTTAAGCCACACTGTGATCGACACGGCAACAAGCAGCTCTCCTCAAACGACGCAAATAATTCGGTTTGTGTAGGAGCGCACATTCCCTACTCCTGCAGTAGTCTCGCACCCGCTCTGGAAGGTCTGAGGATCCGCGCCCGTATGACTCACGACATCTCAACTAATGACCGAGCCGTTTTCCTTCCCTCTGGTGGTAAATGAGGGCTGCTGCTCTCATTTACTTAGCGTCATGATGGCACTCAGACCAAACGGACGAACTTAATCAATCACATTCCAGCAGGATGAAGGCTGTGCGTTCCTTGGCGACGGCAACTGCGCGGTTCACGGTTGTGACGAGAAGCATTAATTATTTTGCGTGCCGCGCAAAATAATTAATGCTTAAAACGTCATATATCACCATTGTCGCCGATGGCCTCTCTCTCTCTCTCTCTCTCTCTCTCTCTCTCTCTCTCTCTTCTCTCTCTCTCTCTCTCTCTCTCTCTCTCTCTCTCTCTCTCTCTCTCTCTCTTCTCTCTCTCTCTCTCTCTCTCTCTCTCTCTCTCTCTCTCTCTCTCTCTCTCTCTCTCTCTCTCTCTCTCTCTCTTTCTCTCCCCCTCTCTCTCTCCCTCTCTCTCTCTCACCCTCTCTCTCTCCCTCTCTCTCTCTCCCTCTCTCTCTCTCTCTCTCTCCCCCCTTGCCAGATGACGACCTACCAAAACAGAGCAGTGATGTAACCGTCTCCCCCTTAGATGGAACATGCGATAAGGTAAGGTGACTGCCTCCCACGGGGAAGCGTTGGTCATGACGTCTCCAAAATACAGTCCTGGTGGTAGATATCTCAAGACTGAGCACCACTGGCGATCTCTCCCAGGGGAACCATCCTTGGCCATCTCTTCAGGATGGAGTCTGGTCGGCCATCTTACTCCACCTTATGACCTAAGGTCGAACCTCTTAACCTTGGCACCTCGACCCCGCATGATGATGACTCAACTGAAAATGGAGCACAGGCGCTGACCAAATCCTCCGAAATCTTCTGCCTGACATCGCCCTCGGTCCCATTGTCCTGGGGGAAGAGCCTTAAGACTAACGTGGTGTGGCGAAGCCCCTGGAACGAGCGGAATGAGCCTCTCTGGTTCGGCTGGGATTTCCTTCGTGCAGTAAGTCGTCAGAGAGCTGCCATCCATGAACAGGTCCGCTCATGGCTGATCAGGCACGAAACTTTGCCATGGCAGGTGGGAGGGGGACAAATGTCAGATTTTTCCCAATTCCTGCGAATTTGCATTGAGCTGCGAAATTGCCCTGCACCTAGTGCAAACCTCTTGATTCAAGGGGGCATGTTCCTCGTCCTATCACTCCTCCCCTCCCCCCCCCCCCATAAGCTACATTCCTGCGCGGCTGGCGTAAGCAGCTTGCCCCGTATCAACGGGGCCATGCGGGATGAAGAATGGGGCATTGAGTGAGGAAGGAAATGTGGACGTGCATTCTTCAACAGTGGCCTGGAAAGTTCATGACCATTCGAATGAAGCTGGGTCTGACGGACGATGAACCCATCACACCGCATTCCCCGCCGCGCTGATTGGATGGCGTCTCGAGACAGGGCGCAGACGGCCAGCTGCTCCGCGGTGGTCCCCCGTCTGGTCGCGACTGCGCCGGTCTCTGTTTATCCGCCGCCATTGTGAGTTTACCGTTAAGCCACGTCGGTGTCGTTGGAGACGGGCGCGGCGCAGGCGAACTTGAGCTTTGCTGCGGCGCCCCGCGGCGCGGCGGCGGCGGAATTGGCATGCGTCCGGCTGATGGGCGGAATGCTAGTTTATCGGGTGCCAAACAGTGCGCAGGCAAGGCCGGGTTCACAGCCAGGTTACAGCCTTGCCGCTGGGGCAGCTGGTACGGTCTGAGGCGCCAGAACAGGCCTCCATTCACAGCCGTCGATGCCTGAGAAACGCCACGTCTCTAGCGCCGTAGATAAACGTTCTATGGAGCGCATCAATCCCGGTCGGAGGCGCCTGAGGCGTCCCAGCTGGCACCCGGAACGTTAAACTGAAGGATTCCACGCGCCAGTCGACGAACGCCCCGTAGCTTTAGCAGCGCATGACGGGAGCTCGGCCGGTCGCAAAACTCTGAACCCATAAGAGCGTCATTTGGAGATATTTGAAACCACAATGCAACACCAAGAGTTGGCAACGGAGTTTGCAATTCATCAAGAAATAGATATTGCAAGCCGTTTTCACACACACTCAGAGAAACTGTCCTTCACTCTGTCCTCACTCATCTACTCCTCCAGAATCCCCGCAACGCCATGTCCCTATGGGCCCAGCCATGGCAGTTAGCCCTGAACCTCCAAAGCTTCCAAATGGCTCCCAGCCAAACTGATCCCAACCAAACCAAATAAAAGAACATTGCTTTAAAAAAACCGCTTCATTCATGGGGCGCTGTAAGCGTGTTGGTCCGATAAGCAGGTCCTCTTTAGATAGTGGGGCGCTAGCTGAAATATGGCGAGGACGGCCGAGAATTCGCCTCCCCTTTCCGGGATACGGAGATCGCGAGCATGGTGCTGCACGCTCCCGAGAACATTTCCCATTGAGCAAACGTTATCAGAAAGGTACTTGCACAGGTTTGCTGCCAGTGCCCGACATATTGTCCGCAAATCCCTCCTCCGTTAGGGAAATAAAGCACATCTGTACATACTGCTGTCGGTTTATGTGAGATGGTCTACCCGGGGTGGCATGCCGTACTCAAAGCAACCTCTCATGACTTCTGCCATTCTTCTTCAGCAGTCTGCCAATGTGACCTTGAGACCCTTCGCTGGCTTATTACCTTTCGCGCGCTTTCGTCTCTCCCGCGTAAAACGAGGCGCGGGGCCCTCCGACCTGTGAAGGCTGCGGCGCCCGCGTCGCCCGCGGCGGTCGCGGCGGTCGCGGTGGTCGCGGCCCCGCGGAATTCGCGGTCACCACTGCGTGACCAGATTGTCCGTCACCATCGGTGATGGACAGCCCGTGTCACCCCCGCCGGGCACCGGCGTCGTCTCGAGGGTGTCACTTAATATTCGTGACAAATGCCACCACTGAATGACCGTGACAGTTTGTGGTTCGCAGCGGCCCCGAAAATAAGAGTCCCATCACTGTCAGCGGCGCGCGCGGCGGTGGATGTTATATGCCATGTGGTAGCTATATATACCGAGGCGGTGTTTATGTTTTGCAGTATCAAAACAATCCGGCTGGTAGTTTGTGTACATTGCTGTATTCAAAACAAAACACACAAATGTTGAATATTTGATCTCAGACCCAAAACGTCCAGCATCAAACAGAAAGCGATTTTCATTTACAATTTGAATGTACTTTTGCAGTCAATGTTCACAACCGAGCCGCAGCGGCGATCTCATCAGAGACTAGAAGCCGATTTCCCAACGCATTTCGCTCTGCGCTGTTTTGGGGATCAAACTGATTACTTTAATCTCCGCAGGCCAGTTAACGACCAGGCAGTCCAACGCAATGTGATAACGCCACAGCCCGGACGATAACGGCTCTTGATCAGGGACACGCAGCATGTCTGAAAAATTAAAGAGTCGCGGCAGAAGACCGCGTGAAGTCGTGGCTGGCAGGCATACCACCGCGCCAGACATCGAACTGGGAGAGGGCGCAGGGCAGGATCTCCACGCCGATCATCACATGGTGAGATAGGAAAATGAGATTTTGCCGGTTTTTTTGTCAGCGGCGTTTTGGGCGATTTGGGCCCCGCTTCGTGCCCCACGCAAGCCAAATTCCAGAGATACCTTGGTGTGAATAGAGACCATGCTTCTCTATGGAGGTACAAAGCTCCACCATTGTCTGGTCGCTACGGGATCGATGACTTGAACGGAAACTCTTAAGGAACAGTGCATCTCTTTTCAAGGCACTAAACTCCGCAGGAGATGCAACACGCTTTCATTCGGCGCCAGTATGAAGCTTTTTACAATGAATAAAACCCGGGCTTCTTAGGCGGGGATTCGTTCTTCACTACAGACAGAGCATATCCGCGCAAAGCCCGCGGTTATTTCCACAGGGATTCCTCGCCGCCACCGTCAGCACTAATAAAGCGAGTCCCTCCGTCAATGTCACTCAACAGTCGCCTCGGCAGACCAACTGCGGTAAATCGCCGTCCAGACGCGCCCGTCAGCTGACCTCATATGTGGTGCCTGTCCTCACTTGGATCTCAGCTCAGTCGCACCGCTGCGGGCGCAGCAGAGGTTATCGCGACCTGTGTAAAGGCCGCTTCCAATTGGCCGCGAGGAAATCACGTGATTTTGAATAATGATAGAAGTTTGAGTGCATCCGTAATGCTTTCATTCATGCTCTTATCGATTTTCAGGGTCGATGAAAAACATGGTCGGTCTGGTTGCCGTCGCACGCGCTGAAAGCGAAGTGCTGCTTAGGAATTGACAGATTGTGACAGAGAACGCCCCTTGAAAATTTGAATACTATATCAGCACGTGCTAACAATCGCACACAGCGATTGTCAGTGCTTCTGTGAGTGCGTTCCAATCGAGCAGCCAAATTCAGCGAGTATGCTAAGGGTCCACCTGCAGTTGTTGTATGCAACACGACATAATAAATCACCCGAAGCTAATTCAGCCATTGTTCAAACGTCACAAGAGTCACCCCTACAATTCAGCGGCGTCGACCCACATCCAGTCCGGGGCCGCCAGCCACTTACTGCACGAGGTCTTCCTGCCGTAGAGCATATAGGAGGTGGTGCGGCGGAACGGCCGGCTGGCGCTGCTCATGGTGGGCGCAGGTGCCTCACATCACGCCGCCGGCTGCGCGCACTCACCGCCGCACCCCATCCGCGCGCGGCACCCCACACGGCGACCCCCCGCGGCGCGGCGCGCGGCGCGGCCCGGCCGCTGCGGCGAGCGCGGCGCACTGAACGCGCTGTCACCGCCGCCTGTAGCCAGCGGCCAAAATAACGGCCGCTTCGACCGCTCCCCTCCCTCCCCCGGCCCCGGCCCCGGCCCCTCCGACGCGACAACACTGTCGTCGTCGATAAGCAGCGCCGGCGCACGCACGCGGCCGGAGCCTCCGAGCTCGCGTGAGCGCGTGACGGCGTGACCGTGTCGCGGTCCGGTCACGCGGTCACATGCTGACCTGCGGCGGGGCGGGGGCGCTGACCGCGTCCACGGCCACGGGCCGGCTGGCCGGCGGCCAGCGGCCCGGCCGCCTCCGGCCCTGCTCGGCACAAAGCGGCGGCGTGCGCGCCGCGGCCGACGGCGCGCCCGACGCATCGCCAGCGACGAGAGTCGGATAGGGGGGGGGGGGCGGAGGAGGCGGGTCAAACCGGGTCAAAAGACCGCCTCTCGCGCTGAGATGCAACTGTTGCGAAACGACCTGTTGATCATTTGAGGAGCAGGGCCAAGCGAAGAGGCGCGGCAGGCCGACGAGGCCCGGCCGAGCAGCTTCCTCACACCGCGCGGTGTGAGGAAGCTCTCGATGAGGCAACCGTGCATCCTGTGAAAAGGGGATGGGTGTATTTATGATGTGTGAAATGGCAACAGGAGACACGGGCCCATCCCTGTGTTGCACTCACGCACACGCAATCACACCTGTTGTGGCGTTTATCACATCTTCCTCACCCGATATCACATCTCTCCCTTTCCTCCTCCCCCCCCCCCGCGGGCTCTAAGTATTTCACCGCCTCTGATGTCACCGGGGTTTGGTACGGGTATTTGCTGACTCCACAACCGAAGTGCAACGGCAAGAAACCAAACCAGGGCTGTAGCTTCGTAGGTGATCTGACGATTTTTAAACGTTATTTGCGGGAAAAATCCCTCACGGTTGACTTGTCAGGTAGCGTCAAACAAAATCAAACCATTTTTCGGCGTGTCTCCGTAACTTTGCGTTTGTTTGCAGAGTGAAGATGATGGAGATCAATGAAGCTACCATTTATTTCCACTGGGCAATGCAATGTCATCGGAGGTCACTACGCGACACTACCAATATTTGTAACGGTTTTCCAAGCTTAGCCTGGCGCGGCCTCAGCATTGAGTGACCATTGCACTACCAGAACATATCAGTACACGATTATTTTGATTTATGACGCAGCGGTTTTGAGAGTGCATCTGGCAAAGCGTTTAATGCTTTGCTTCATGTAAACTAACGTTCAGGATTTGACCACGGAGGATATTAAGACAGTAGTTATGACCTTATTCCTAGTGGAAAAACCAGGAGAATGGAGATTTAGATGCGTTGATATTTCGGCAACATGTCTTTGTCCAAGCGAATAGCAGAAGGCATGAAGGCAAAGATGAAAGCATGTTGCCGAAATATCAACATATCTCTGTCCCCATTATCCGGGTTTAAAGTAAGATAAAGGGATGCTGCCGAAATGTCAGCGCGTCTATCTCTCCATTCTTCTGATTTTTCTACGAGGAATGAGGCTATTTCTACCGTCTTATCTATGTCCATATTTTTCACAAATACACTGAACAACTTACGGAAAATACCGGCAAATGATAGTCACGATGACTGATGATAGGGGTGACATTGTCACTTGCTGTCCGCACAGGTACTGACGAAGATCGGAGGCAAGATCTGATGCGTACAGAACCTAGGGCGCGTCGCAGAACGGCGGTTTTCCACAATTTTGGCGCGCAGAGTCTTGAACGCCAGGTTAGTTCTCGATAACCTCAAGTTGTAAGTCCTTCAAATCTTCAGATTAAATAAGGAAATTTTGGGATTCAGTTCGTTGAAATGCCACCACCAAGCAAAGAACAGGTTCTGGAGATGATTTCGAAAAAAACAGAGGAATTTGCATCAATGATAATGTGACATCATTTGGCGGCACAACCTATAGTCGGCGCAACTTCTGATTGCAAATGTCAATCAGTCTTAATTGTTCGTCTTGCCCAGTCAAGGCAAATGTGCAAAATACCGCATGACATTAAGAATTCAAACAGTTTGAACTACACAGGGCTATATCAACTTCACTCAACTCTGATTTATTCGTGAATACCCGATGAGGCTATCAGTGAAGTCAGTATAGTCGCCGTCTGTGGTCATATTTGAATCCGAATACGCATACGTGGCTGACTTCACAAGCATAAAATGTACTCAGTACCTGGATGTTTGGATTTCATGCGCTGAATGTCATGGCCCGTCGCCGATTCCAGCATGGCACATGCGGTTGTCAGCACGTTGAAATCGGCCCGTACCCCGGCTGTCTTCGCCGTGACGGTTCTGTCAGCACGCCTGGACTGGTTTTGATTCAAACGCGGCCGAAAGCATTCAGGAATCTGGAAGGGAGCGGTACTCGCAGTTTCCGGCCCAACATACCGAACGCATGCTGATGATAAGCATACTACTATTGTGATTATGGGGTTTTTGCATATCACACACTCGTTACCAGTACTTGCGGATTTATTCGTCCTTACAACATCGGAAGACTTGTTGGCCAAGCTACACTTGAAGTAAAAAATATGCACGCAAGTAGTAACAAAACTACGCCTGATGAAGCTGGCCCATAGACTCACCATGATCTGGGCCCGACCAGTTATCTTCTAACTTAGGTAAGATATTGAGCACAGTATGTGCTTCTGATGTATCTACTATGTTCGTGCTCTGGAAATCGGGGTGGAACGGCGCGTAGCTTCATAAAGTTCGGCGCAGGACCGAATTACCGACGTTGAAACAACCCATGACGCCGCCGTGTGCCCCTTAGCCACCTTGTGTGGGATTTAAAGTTTCGTTGCCAGGGGCAATCTTTCCGTACGCGTTGTTTTAATGGTCGCGTACTTTCAACTCTGACTGCAGCCCGAATTCTGCTCGTCCACAAAGAAATGGTTTGTTGTCCTAAAATATATCTCTCAAGGATCTCGACAGCTAGAGCCTCTTCTGTTCATTGTGTAACTAGCAGTATTAAAACTAAACGCTAGATGTCGGGCAAATACAGTTTTTTTCGGCGAGCAACGCGCTTCAGCGTCGCCGCGTGCAAGCGATTGGTACGGTATATTCGGTGCTCGATTAGTGACCGATGGCAAGTGGAGATCCAGTGGCGCCTGAAGCCTGGCCGATCAGGCGTTTTTCCACCTTCTCCGGATGAGGGGCTCTAAAGGACTCCTATTACAGAACTTTATGTGGTTGAGTTGAGTAGAAAAGCGACATCGGACAGTTCACGTGCATAGCTAAATCGATTTAACGCATAATGCAATGAGCATGCCATGACCGTCTTGGGCTACACTAGGTTAGCGAGGCAAGAAGCGCATTTCGGCGTTTTTATCATCACAACCTTGCTTACTATGACGCTGGAGAATCGAGATTCTATAGCGCTCAGTACACTGAATCGCGTCCGTGCTCACAGCGCTATTGGTAACCCTTGACACACTGAATCAAACAACGGCGATAACCCATCCGCATGTATGACTTGTAACACAGCCAATCAGGTCACATTGCTCAAGCGTTGTGTGATCGAGCCTAGGATCGATCGCTGATAGCTATCTCGACAAGGAAGCATGTTGACGACAATGCAACAACCGGCGCCAGATAGCGTCTGGACACATCAAATATTGGCTGGTGATACCTGCCACGCGAGATCATGAAAAGCATTATCTTCATACGAATATTTTATCTGTTTCCGTTGTTCAGGTTTTATCTATGAGGACTTGACGTCGTTACACTTGATAACAGTGCACGATCATGCAGTGCGGCATGCAATAAGTCAATGCAGCGAAGGTGCTTAGAGCTTATCTGCTATGAAAAAGTGATATGCGACACCCAAGCACGAAATGCGACCGACGTAATTTGACATGGTATGACAAAGCATGACTACAGCTTAGAGGTACTTGGAGGTGCTCCTCACTTCGAGAGGAAGGGGCTTCAAATTTTTGCACATAGTGTAAAAACGCACAAACTCAGGGAATGAAAATGCATGCCGCATACGTTTTCTGGCCCAGAGCCTCTACCGAGCCAGCGTCTGTTCCAGTTGTTTTTGGTCTCTTTGGATCATTCGGAACTTGAAAACTTTGGGACATTTAAGCGTGGCGCAACGCTGCAGCTTACATTAACCCAGCCACGGGTCACTCCCAGTAATCTACCCAGGCGTTGCAGTGCCTACCATGCCATACCCTGGCACCTCTGCAGTACCTTGGTCAATCGGTCCTGGCTATCTGACATCAGCAAATTATGTCACCATGATCAATTCAGCTTCGGCGAACTGTTCGATGTAGAAGCCTTCAGCTTTAAAGGCATCGCATGCGCTTAGGTCCAGTCTTTGCCTGTTTATCTCTTTTCTCCCAAAATGATGTTCAATGCTGTTGCGTGGGTTGACGTTCATCTTACTGAGCAATCACGCTCTCATGATCCACAGTGTCTGGCCCGCGATGAATACTTGCTGATTTTCTTTCGCTGACTCACTTGCTGATTTCTCCTGGCTTCGCCTCGGCTCGGCCTGAGGAGCAGCTGCAGAGGACTCCACCCCGCATCATGAGTCGGCCTCGCGTTCCCGTCGTCACCGCGTGACGATCCGAGTTGTCCATCAGAATTGGCGACCGGACACAAACGTATCACACGGGAAGAAAAGTATTCCGAGATGCGTATGTTGTTTGTGGCTTTGGGCCAAGATACATGACTTGCATAACCCATCTGGGGCCATGAAAATGAAAAGTCTCGTCATTTAGTACTCAGATTAAGTATAAATGTTTTAGTATTCTTGTATCAGCATTGCATGCGCCCATTGTATATTCGTTTTGCATTACGCTGTCGTGGACGGTATCACTATTGTGCATGCTTTCCTTCCCTTACGCCATGTCCATGTAGGCATCCTGTCCATGGAACTTTCCAGTTCCTCCTCTGCTTCAGTTGC